TTTTCCCCCAATTTTCCCCATTTTCCCCAATTTCCCCCCAATTTCCCCCCGACCTCGATATTTCCTCATGGCCTCCTGGAGCTCCAGGTTTGGGGGCAGGAGGTCTCCAGGTTCCTCCTCCTCCTCCTCCCGAGGAACCTCCTTCTCCCACCTGGAAAAGAAGGACTTTGCTCCTCACCCTTCCCTTCTCCCACAATCCTTTGCTCCCCCACCCCCCACCCCAGGCTCCGCCCCCATTTTTCTGACGAAATATGGATTTTAGAACCAAGACTTGACCCAAAAAAACCTCCCCAAGATCTCCTGGAGGTGGATTCTCCACCCTGGAGAACGTCCCCCGAGGAGAACCTCCGAGGAGGACGTGGGATGGACCTTCCCACCTCCACCTTTGGTGGTCAAACTTCCAAAATAGTCGTTTTTTCCCCATTTTTTGGGGGGCAGGGAGCCCAAACCCGGATCTCCAAGAAGAATTTGGGGTGATAGAGGTGAAGCCTGGAGGTCCCACCATCCCATCCGAGGTCTTTCCCTGCTCTTCAGGGACCTCCTTGGACCTTTTTGGGGTCTTCTCCTGGAGGTCGACGCGGTTGCCATCGCACCGGGGATCACGGGTGGCTTTTGGAGGCCACCGGTGCCACCACCCTGGAGACCAACAACCTGAAGGTGGTCAAGAACGTGAGCCACAAACCTGCTGGAGATGTTTCTGCTGGCCTACAAGGGGAAAAGAGGAGAGAAGAAGCCTCAGGTCAAGGTGGAGAGTTGACCACGAGGACCTTGGTCTTGAACCACCTCCAGGGATGGGAGACACCTCCCACCAGGCCCAGGTTGCTCCAAACCACGTCCAACCTGGTCTTGAACCATCTCCCGGGATGGGAGACAACTCCCACCAGGCCCAGGTTGCTCCAAACCACGTCCAACCTGGTCTTGAACCATCTCCCGGGATGGGAGACAACTCCCACCAGGCCCAGGTTGCTCCAAACCACGTCCAACCTGGTCTTGAACCATCTCCCGGGATGGGAGACAACTCCCACCAGGCCCAGGTTGCTCCAAACCACGTCCAACCTGGTCTTGAACCATCTCCCGGGATGGGAGACAACTCCCACCAGGCCCAGGTTGCTCCAAACCACGTCCAACCTGGTCTTGAACCATCTCCCGGGATGGGAGACAACTCCCACCAGGCCCAGGTTGCTCCAAACCACGTCCAACCTGGTCTTGAACCATCTCCCGGGATGGGAGACAACTCCCACCAGGCCCAGGTTGCTCCAAACCACGTCCAACCTGGTCTTGAACCATCTCCCGGGATGGGAGACAACTCCCACCAGGCCCAGGTTGCTCCAAACCACGTCCAACCTGGTCTTGAACCATCTCCCGGGATGGGAGACAACTCCCACCAGGCCCAGGTTGCTCCAAACCACGTCCAACCTGGTCTTCAACCATCTCCAAGGATGGGAGACACCTCCCACCAGCCCCACGTTTCTCCAAGTCCCATCCAACCTGGTCTTGAACCATCTCCAGGGTTGGAAGACACCTCCAGGCCCCATCCAACCTGGTCTTGAAGCATCTCCAGGGTTGGGAGACACCTCCCACCAGGCCCAGGTTGCCCCAAGTCCCATCCAACCTGGTCTTGAACCATCTCCAGGGTTGGAAGACACCTTCCAAGCCCCATCCAACCTGGTCTTCAACCATCTCAAGAGATGGAAGACACCTCCAAGCCCCATCCAACCTGGTCTAGAACCATCTCCAAGGATGGAAGACACCTCCAAGCCCCATCTAACCTGGTCTTCAACCATCTCAAGAGATGGGAGACACCTCCCACCAGGCCCAGGTTGCCCCAAGTCCCATCCAACCTGGTCCTGAACCATCTCAAGAGATGGAAGACACCTCCAAGCCCCATCCAACCTGGTCCTGAACCATCTCAAGAGATGGAAGACACCTCCAAGCCCCATCCAACCTGGTCTTCAACCATCTCCAAGGATGGAAGTCACCTCCCACCAGCCCCAGGTTGCTCCAAGCCCCATCCAACCTGGTCTTGAACCATCTCAAGAGATGGGAGACACCTCCAAACCACGTCCAACCTGGTCTTGAACCATCTCCAGGGATGGAAGACACCTTCCAAGCCCCATCCAACGTGGCCTTCAACCACCTCCAGGGATGGGAGACACCTCCCACCAGCCCCAGGTTGCTCCAAGCCCCATCCAACCTGACCTTGAACCACCTCCGGGGATGGGACAACCTGGTCCAAGGTCTCACCACCCTCAGGACAAAGACTTTTTTGCCCAAAATCTCATCGGAATGTCCCCTCCAGAAGGACCTGGTTCCTCACCAGCAGGAACTCGCACGCCGGCTGCTGACACTTCTCCTCCAGCTCCTTGATCTCCTCCCCGAGGCAGGAGATGTCCTCCAAGAGCTTCTGGACCTTCTCCTCCTGCCTTCTCCTGATCTCCTCCTCCAGCTTCTCCAACCTCTCCAGAAGGAGACGTTCCTGCCCCTCCAGGAACCTCTGGAGCTCCTTGGCTTCGTGGACCACCTTCTCCTTCTCCTTTTCCACCCGTTCCTGCGTGGACAGGAGAAGGAGAGGTCACTTTTGAGAGAAGAAGAAGGTGGAGGAAGACCTGGAAGAACCCAACACCTTCTCCTGGGCCATCAAGACGTGTGAGGAGCAGGAGAAACGGGGTGGAAAATGAGGGTTGGGGGTGGTCACCACTGCCCAGACCTTACCCCCCATGGAGAGGACCCACCTGGTGGGTCTCCACCTCAAGGAGAAGGTGGGGGAGAAGCCACCACCACTTACGAGGAGGTCCAGGTTCTTCTCTTCTTCGGCCGCTTTCAGCCCCAGAAGCTTCTCCCTCCTCTTCTTCAGGAGCCCCACGTGAGCTTGGAACTTCTCCTGAGGGGTTGGGGGGAAGAAGAAAGGTCCCCCGTTGGTGGCTTGTCCTCCTCCAGAAGGTCCATCCCACCTCTCCTCCAACCTCGGAGTCCTCCACCACCATCTTCCTCCAGGAACTCACCGAACCCCCGTTTTTGGGGAGAAACGGACCCAAAACGTCTAAGATTTTGGGTCCGTTTCACCACTTTGGGGTCACGACTTCTGAGGGATGGGACAACCAGGCCATAAAGGGGGGTGGAGACCATCCTCATCCTCATCCTCCCCCTTGGGGGGTGAAACCTGGGCGAGACCCCACCTCAGCCCCTTTTTCTTCCCCGTTTTGGGGGAAAATGGCCAAAAAACAAGGCAACCGGACCTCGGGGGGGTGGAGAACCTTCTCCTTCTCCTCCTCCTCCTCCTCCTCCTCTTCCTCCTCCTCCTTCTCCTCCTTCTCCTCTTCCTCTTCATCCACTTCCCCCTTCTCCTCCTCCTCCTCTTCCTCCTTCTCCTTCTCCTTCTCCTTCTCCTTCTCCTTCTCCTTCTCCTTCTCCTTCTTCTCCTCATGCTCCTCCTCCTCCTCCTCCTCCCCCTTCTCCTCTTCCTCCTCCTTCTCCTCCTCCTTCTCCTCTTCTTCTTCATCCTCTTCCCCCTCCTCTTCCTCATTTTCCTCCTCTTTCTCCTCCTCTACCTCCTCCTGCTTCTCCTCCTCCTCTTCCTCTTCCTCCTCTTCTTCCTTCTCCTCCTCTTCCTTCTCCTCCTCTTTCTCCTCCTTCTCCTCTTCCTCTTCATCCTCTTCCCCCTCCTTTTCCTCCTTCTCCTCCTCCTCTTCCTTCTTCTCCTCATGCTCCTCCTCCTCATCCTTATCCTTATCCTCCTTCTCCTCCTCTTCCTCCTTTTCCTCTTCCTTCTTCTACTCTTCCTCCTCCTCCTCCTTCTCCTTCTCCTCCTCCTTCTCCTCCTTCTCCTCTTCCTCCTTCTCCTCTTCTTCCTCCTCCTTCTCCTCCTCCTTCTCCTCCTCCTTCTCCTCCTCCTTTTTTAAAAGGTACTTGGAAATCTTACTACACTTTTATCTATTTTGGGCAGGAAAAACGAAGACATCTCCCACCTTCTCCTCCTCCTCTTCCTCCTTCTGCTCCTTCTCCTCTTCTTCCTTTTCCTCCTTCTCCTTCTCTCCCTCCTTCTCCTCCTCCTCCTCCTCC